CCATAAGGTATTAAAATGATAAAAATATAAATACATACAATAGAATAAGTACAAGATTAAAATTCTTCCCAAACAAATGTATAAATGAGCTTTACAACACAAAAAGACGATTGAAAATAGACCTGCACATATGTACAACAACCATACAATTATAAGCCACACACTAAAATTATTAAATTTAAATTTAAATTGCAAATTATCAAAAGTGTTTTCTTGCTGCAATAAATTTCAAAATACAAGATTATTTAAAACCATAGATCAAAACATATAATATCAGGAGTGGGGATATTGTGTATAAAGAACCAGTATCCAATTTATCACATCTATTAATGTATTACGAATTCTCTTGCATTCATATATTTTCTTGAACAAAAAGCATTTCTAAACAACGTGAAATTTCAGTTTTATATAAATCAGTAATGGTGCTTCGATTTTTATTGTTAAGCAATTTTGCAATTAGAAAGTTTATCTAACGCACGTCTGAATGATTCCATAGCTCTATGTTGTGGTCAAATATATATTTCTTTAATCTATGGTCAAATTTTATAGGTTATATATCAAAAATTAGTTTAATAAAAAAATATTAACAAAATCGGATGGATAATTTAATTCCAACTAAAGAAAGTATTCGTCCTGCTTGTAAAAAATGTGGTTACGCAGGTCACCTTACATATCAGTGCAGAAACTTCATAAAAGTGGACCCCAATAAAGAAATTCTTTTAGATGTCAGTAGCACCAGCAGTGATTCTGAAATGGATTATTTAACACCCCTAACGGAATTACGCGAAAAAGAGTTGAAAGATAAACTTAAGAAATCCAAAACTAAACATAAAAAGGAAAAGAAAAGAAAACACTCTTCAGATGATTCAAATAGTGACAGCGAAGAGAAGACAAGTAGGCACAAGAAACGTAAAAAAAAGAGGAAATATAGTGAAAATGCTAAGTCTTCGAAGGACTCTGATAATGATAAAAAGACTGCCAAACACAAGAAGCACAAAAAACATAAGAAGAAGTCAAAGCATTCAGATTCATCAGACTGATAGAGAACAAATTTTGATACATAAATACCTCTATTATGCTTATTTACATTTTAATATATTGTACCATATTTTAAGCATCTACATATATAATAAAATAAAGAAAAGTAGAGAGCATTAGGGGGCCTTGTCTTTTATTATAACCAAAGAATGTACATTTGGAAACGAAGTATCTTAACAAGAGTTCCTTAAAATTCGCGACAAATTTATGCCTAGGCACTGTATAATCTATGATTATAAACAAATTTATTGTAAATTTATAATATTCGAACACTGATCTGAAAAAGAATTGTCACAATCTATAATCACAGAAGTTACACGGTTGCGTACTCTAAAAATGACAGATGAAAGATGTTTCATTATAAAAAAAGAGGAAGGAAACAAGGGAATCTTAACAACATATTAATATAAAATTATAATATTGGTCACAAATGGGAATAACCATGCACACACTTTGTACTTTCAATCGTACTTATTGTTAGAATTGCGCTAGAAATAATAAGTTAAGTTTCTCAAATATGCATTGTGATCACTATTATTCAAACTGCAGAACGTTTCCAACATATATAAATTTTCCTGCGCTATTTTTATTAATCTAATCCGAATACATTACATATTGTTATTTTGTATTTAACTTTTTTTAAAGGGGATTTACGGGATTCTCCCATACAACTTACAAAATAGTTAATCGATTTAAACCTCGCTTATTTGTAAAAGGATAATAAAATTGGTATTTTAAGTTTTACTTCTGTTAAAATTAATATTTCTAGAATTTTGAAAAATACGAAAGATCAATTTAAAAATTTTAAACAAACTTTTTACAAGCAAAAATGTCTTTTCAATGTTATAAAAATTCAAAATCCTCATTCTCTGGAGACTTTCTTACTGAAAATGAACCCAAAAAAAAAACGACTAACCGATCTTTGTGTTCTTTTGCAATTAAACACGTATAAACAATTAATCAAAGTTCAAACAATATCTGACAAGTGGAATCCCCTAAATATGACTTTATTGACTACAAAATGTGTTCCATCGATCATGAAAATAGCAGCCATAACTTTCAGTAAATTTCAAATTCAAATATACAGCTATTATCACATAACTTCAATAAGAAAAATGATTTTAAACCCTTCTTTGAAATGTGTTATTGCAATAAAAATGTTACAGGAAATTTTAAAAGTATATTGAATTTCATCCTGCAGTCGATTTTACAACACAATATATCATAAAAAATTGCTTTATGCAGAAAAATCTCCGCGGTACCATCAAAATCTCATGGATTGCGTTTGCAGGCACGACTAAGTAGTTTGCATGATTGCATATATATGACTTGAAAAAGGTTCAATATCACAATACGTTACATGCGCTTTACAAATTCGATTTGAATTTTATCTAAGATCAAATATTTTTAAGGATCTCAAGACGTTGGTACAATTAATTCGACATATTAATAATAATGGATGGGTGCAACACGTTTTCTATCCTTGTTTTTCTTTTTTTTTTTGGTAACTATAAAAATAAGCGCACTCCATTGGCATGTAAAAAAACTGATTCGTGTTAAAAAAAAATTAGGACATAGAACAGAGAGAGAGAGAGAGAGAGCGTTTTACTACTCGATACACAACAGTATGGAACTTAGTTGTCGATTAAACGGAACTTCTCATATGGCTGCATAAGCAGTAGTATTTACTTCAAAAATAATACTATTACAATGTAAGTATATTTGTGATGTTTTGGTAAAAAAGCTATCAAAAAATACTGCAACATTATACACACTATTCCATAGAATATCTGACACAAAAATCTATATTACTGAAAATTCTTATTATATAAGTCTGAGAATGTAAAAAAATAATTAAAAAGGATTAAAAGTTTCTGATACAAATATCATGCAGGTTGTTTTAAATATTTACAATACTTTGGAGCATCGATAATTTCTTTACATGGGCAGAATTTCTTAACTTTATAAATATTAAAGCCCCATTCATGCTATTGATCAAGTCACGGTCCAATCATGGTCAGATCAAAATATATTTGACTGGACCGTGCCTTATAGTATGCATGCTGTCATATGAAATGTATGTTATAATATTTTACTTGACTGTAACTGGACCGGACCGTAACTTGTAGTTAGCTCAAAGCAAAATAAAATATATATTAATGAAACACTTGGTTACTTTTATTGAAAAGAATCCCAAATGTTTCAATATGTATTCCGTAAATTTTATTTTGGCTTAATCATGCCCTTTCACAACAGTTGCACCATTGAAACTTTAAATAGTATTTATAAATNTTAATTAATTTTTAGCGTGAAAAATAATTTATTAAAAATGGAGAAATATGAGTCTCTATGTGTTAAGTGTTAAATGTTCGCTTCTGAAAACAAGAATTTTTAAATTTTAACTCTCTTTTCACTGTTGTCAATAAAAAGGTTTTAATTATTTATTAATTACCCAGTAAGTATAAAATTTATCGTGATTACATCGTATATGAAAATTCGACTGGACTTTTGGCTTCAGGGAGTGGTGTAAAGCCAATTGAGTAATTACTTTTGATAAATAAATAATTATTTGAAGCTACATTTTAACTTAGTATTTAAACATGTTTGCGTGTTTCGTTATCTGTAAAAGGCGAGGCACTAAAGAAATCATGACCTTCAAGCAACGTCCTTTAAACAACAACATTCCTATTCGATATTCAGATACACAGATGAGGTGTTAATACAATATCTGTGTGTAACGGTTCACAATTTTTAACAAGAGTTGAAAATAATTCAAATAATGCACAATTTATAAAGAACACATTAAAACGTTTAAAAGGTTTAGTAAACGGACTTGAACATTTTGACGATTATTATTATTTTTATTGTAAAATTTTACGCGTATGTATTACAAATATATTATTATATTTGTCCAATTTTAAAATATCGACAAACCGACAGCGAATTTTGATAAATAAAATTATTAATCCGACAAAATGAACTTCCAAGAAAGAAAAAAAATTTGTAGTGTTGTTGAAATATATAAAACTAACTGAGCTGGATTTTCATAAATACATACATACATACTTCCCGATTTTAAGTAAATTTTTAACAATTATTTTTACCTCCTGGTTAATTATCGTTAAAGGCAAAATAGAACTAACTTAAACAGTAAATTATGATCTACTAGATTTTAACCGCGGCTTCGCTCATCAATTGATGTCCTAAATACTAAATACCGTGTCAAAGATCATCGACGATCACATAAAACCAATTTATTCTATTCTTCGAAAACAACATTTTTTCTTTTGGATAAAAGGTACCCTATGTTCTTTTCTGTAGTTTTTCGAGTAGTTAAAGCGTGAAATCGACCACATAAAACTAATTCTTCTGTCCCTCAGGAATATTATTTTTTTCTGGATTAAAGGTATCCTATGTACTTTTCTATACCCTTGACAATGTGTCTACAAAATTTCGTGACAATCAGTCGCGTAGTTAAGGCGTGAAATCGACCACATAAAACTAATTCTTCTGTCTCTCGGAAACAATGTTTTTTCTAGGTGAAAGGTACTCTATGTGCTTTTTTGTATACAAAATTGTAGGATGTCGTGGGTAAGTCTATAAAAAGCAAAATTACGCTCGTTCAAATTTGAAAATTGGTTAAAAAGGAGCCGAAATTATGAATACTTTCCTTCGATTTCATAAAAACTCATTTTCATCAAAATACACGTCCCCTTACGACACGCTCTGCTGCGCGTTTATATCATAGAAATTTCAATTGGCTCGAAGCCAATAAAAAGCGAAATTATACGCTCGTTCAAATTTGAAAATTAGTTAGAAAGGAGCCGAAATTATGAATAATTTCCTTCTTTTTCGCAAAAACTCATTTTCATCAAAATACTCGTCGATTTACGATACTCTCTATCGCGCTTTTATATTAAATTCGTATAAACTACTATAAAGGGCGAAATTTTGTCCGTCCAGATTTGAAAAGTGGCTAGGCAGAAGCGAGAAATTATGAATAATTACCTTCAATTTCGTTAAAAGTCATTTTTATTAATTACTACACCCTACCGCGCTTTTATATCATATAATTTTAAATTCGTTTGAACTACTGTAAAAGGCGAAATTTCACCCGTCCACATTTGAAAATTGGTTAAGCAGAAGCCTAAATTATGAATAATTTCCTTCCATTTCGCAAAAACACATTTTCTTCAAAACACACTGGCGGATTATAGTTGACATTCGGGGCCCCTTGTTTCACTGTTATTGGTTGCAAAATGACAATAAACGTACTAATCTATAGTTAAAATCATTTTATTGACTACGGTGAAAATAGTTATAGGGGTTCAAAGTGTTACAGTGTAATTTTAGTTGTATTTATTAGTATTAGGGATAATTATACAATATTTAGCATGGTGTAATTTTTAATATTTATATAAGTTACTGCATTGGCTGCTATAGTGTATAAATGTACATTATTACAAATTTCACCCTGTTGGGGCCTCTCAAAACATTTGGTCCCAATAGATAAATTCTACGAAGGCTTCGTCGGTCAGCTACCCTTATTTAATTGCACTACGCTGTAATGATATCTATGTATTTTTGGGTCTTTTCCTATACTTTTCTATAGCTTTTGTTCTCGCAGGTACTGGTGGTGGTAATATTATAGGTTTGATTTTATTCCATTTTTGTAGTAGTTGAGTTCAGTTCAAAAGTTAAGTTTTGTCGTTCAGCTTAACCGGATCTATTTTTTGTCGCTAATTTTGTCTTCCGTTTTTACATTGTCTTCATGTTCTGAATATGTTTAAGTGTTGTAAATAAAGTGTGTACATAGTTTTGTTTTACACTGGAATTTTATTCACTTTGGTCATTTATCCGAAAACATTCTGAGAAAATACTGCTCGTGGAAACACGGCAAACATTGGTCCTTCGAGCCGGATATCGTGCACTAGTTAGCGAGTCAGCAATACTTCCTGAGCTCCTAAAAATTCTACATATTGGATTTAATCGAAGCCACAGCATTACTTCCTGGGCTACTCAAGTTTGGACAAACGCAACAGCATATTCAGAGTTGGAACAAGTTGTCGCAGTAAGTCTCCATTTTCCTTCTCCTTTCTACCATTTTATTTTTGTCGGTTTGTCGTTCAAAATGGCTTTCATTTCGGGTACAGAAAGTGTAGAAACTCTCATTTTAAAGCGAGGTCAAGTCAAAGCCAGTGCAACACGCTTNAGTAGAAGAATACGTTTTAGAATATGTATCTAGGTATTTCTACAAAATGTTACTAGTTAATTCATAAAATTATAAATTAATTTTTAAATTTAATCCAACTAATTATTGGCAACGAAGAATTCCAAGATTCTATTTATTAGAAAGTGTATCTTTACACACACACATACAAATATTTTTTTCTCGAGACAAACAAGCAAGGTTACCGAAGGATACGATTGTAAAAAAGGCCGTTAAACAGATTAGGACGAAGACAAACAGATATTACTCACGTCAGAGAGAATGTTACAGTTGTAGGACTATTAAATAAAATAGAGATAAATTGCAAAATTTAGATATCTAGGAAAGAAAAGAACGGTTTATTAATCTTTGGGAAGAAGACCAAAAATTCATTGCTCAGTATGTTATGCAAAATAAAAAAAGCACATTATCGTCTTAAACAAATGCTATTTTTGTCTTCTTGACTATTATTACTTTATTATATTGTTATACTCTCATCCTTAACAATGAAAAATTTTATTGAAAAATAAACAGAGTAACATTTCCATATAATGCTAACAGTTTTTTGCCCGCATTCTTTAACTATAAAAATATTCCTCTATCAGATTTCCTATAAAAATAATAATGTACAGTACACGAAGTAAAAAACTTCAGACTAGAAAAAATCGAAAACAAAGTGAAAAACATTAATTTATACCAACAGTGTTTAGTGCTATGAAATCATAATTATTTTCTTTGACTATTTGTGCCCCAAATAAACTTAAATTATTTTATTAAAATAGAAAGATGAAGTTGCTTACAAATTTCGACTATCACTGTAGCACTTCTAGTTTTTCATCTAGACTGCAGCGCACCCATTTAATTTCGCGGGAAGGTACCAAATTAATTTAAATTTAAATGCTGGTGATTACTTAACCTTTATTTAGGCAACCCTCTGTACTGCAAAGTATTCTCACAGTAGCAGTTTTAATTTCTTTATTACAGTCTCCGTTTTCAAAAAGAGGGTTTAAAATATTATTTATATAAAATAAAAAAGTAAGTTTTAACCATATAATTTTAGTTTATGCCCACCCATGACTACGTTATTACTTTTTGGTACTTTCAGTTCGTTTCATAAGGAAGAAATTAATTGACCAAGAAATAAAAACGACATCCTTAAATTGAGAGTTAAAAGCGCACCCCGCCAATTTGGAACTATAAAATTCTCTTCACAGATGCCTTATAACAACTCTACTACATTTTGGTACCTTCAGCTTGTTTAATAAAGGAGAAATATTAATTTATCAATAAATAAAAAAGTTTCTGAAATGAGCATTTAAAATCCACCCCAGTAATTTTTAACTAAAAAATTCTTTTTACTGATGCCTTATAAGAACTTTAAAATAATTTGGTGCCTCCAGTTCGTTTAATAAGAAAGGAAAAAAACGACATCTTTAAATTGGGGGTTGAAAGTGCAGCTCGGTAATTCGTAACTGTATAATTCTTTTCAGTGATGCGTCACGAAAATCTTAATAGTTTTTGATACTTGGATCACATTTAATGAAGTAAATTAATTTACCAAGAAATACAAACGACGTTTTTAAATTGGGAGTTGAATGTGCACCACAGTAATTTCTGAATACATGTCAGTAATGCCTCACAAAAATCTAGGTACATTTTGGTACATTCAGCTCGTTTAATGAAGAAGTAATTAATTTTGATCCTATCAGTAAGGTAAAAAGTTGAATCCTACCTTTCCAATGTAGTGAATAAACAATTGTCCTTGCCCAACAATCTAAATAACCGTGAGAGAAGACTCTGGAGGCGAATGGTTCCAGCTGTTAATTGTAAAACAATTGTGATTTGAAGAAAAAATGTTAAATAAAATCCTACCTTTCTTTATGTGCAGTCCAATATATCCTTATAGCAGTGGCTTGTAAGGAATTTTCCTTCACAGTCAAATTGTTAGGAAAACTGAAACAAAAAGAATCTTGTTACAATAAGTGCATAAAAATACACGGCACAAGTAGAAGTTTCGTTTCCAAGAACTTGTATTTTTGCGAGCAGAAATTTCATACGGCCATAAGGTATTAAAATGATAAAAATATAAATACATACAATAGAATAAGTACAAGATTAAAATTCTTCCCAAACAAATGTATAAATGAGCTTTACAACACAAAAAGACGATTGAAAATAGACCTGCACATATGTACAACAACCATACAATTATAAGCCACACACTAAAATTATTAAATTTAAATTTAAATTGCAAATTATCAAAAGTGTTTTCTTGCTGCAATAAATTTCAAAATACAAGATTATTTAAAACCATAGATCAAAACATATAATATCAGGAGTGGGGATATTGTGTATAAAGAACCAGTATCCAATTTATCACATCTATTAATGTATTACGAATTCTCTTGCATTCATATATTTTCTTGAACAAAAAGCATTTCTAAACAACGTGAAATTTCAGTTTTATATAAATCAGTAATGGTGCTTCGATTTTTATTGTTAAGCAATTTTGCAATTAGAAAGTTTATCTAACGCACGGCTGAATGATTCCATAGCTCTATGTTGTGGTCAAATATATATTTCTTTAATCTATGGTCAAATTTTATAGGTTATATATCAAAAATTAGTTTAATAAAAAAATATTAACAAAATCGGATGGATAATTTAATTCCAACTAAAGAAAGTATTCGTCCTGCTTGTAAAAAATGTGGTTACGCAGGTCACCTTACATATCAGTGCAGAAACTTCATAAAAGTGGACCCCAATAAAGAAATTCTTTTAGATGTCAGTAGCACCAGCAGTGATTCTGAAATGGATTATTTAACACCCCTAACGGAATTACGCGAAAAAGAGTTGAAAGATAAACTTAAGAAATCCAAAACTAAACATAAAAAGGAAAAGAAAAGAAAACACTCTTCAGATGATTCAAATAGTGACAGCGAAGAGAAGACAAGTAGGCACAAGAAACGTAAAAAAAAGAGGAAATATAGTGAAAATGCTAAGTCTTCGAAGGACTCTGATAATGATAAAAAGACTGCCAAACACAAGAAGCACAAAAAACATAAGAAGAAGTCAAAGCATTCAGATTCATCAGACTGATAGAGAACAAATTTTGATACATAAATACCTCTATTATGCTTATTTACATTTTAATATATTGTACCATATTTTAAGCATCTACATATATAATAAAATAAAGAAAAGTAGAGAGCATTAGGGGGCCTTGTCTTTTATTATAACCAAAGAATGTACATTTGGAAACGAAGTATCTTAACAAGAGTTCCTTAAAATTCGCGACAAATTTATGCCTAGGCACTGTATAATCTATGATTATAAACAAATTTATTGTAAATTTATAATATTCGAACACTGATCTGAAAAAGAATTGTCACAATCTATAATCACAGAAGTTACACGGTTGCGTACTCTAAAAATGACGGATGAAAGATGTTTCATTATAAAAAAAGAGGAAGGAAACAAGGGAATCTTAACAACATATTAATATAAAATTATAATATTGGTCACAAATGGGAATAACCATGCACACACTTTGTACTTTCAATCGTACTTATTGTTAGAATTGCGCTAGAAATAATAAGTTAAGTTTCTCAAATATGCATTGTGATCACTATTATTCAAACTGCAGAACGTTTCCAACATATATAAATTTTCCTGCGCTATTTTTATTAATCTAATCCGAATACATTACATATTGTTATTTTGTATTTAACTTTTTTTAAAGGGGATTTACGGGATTCTCCCATACAACTTACAAAATAGTTAATCGATTTAAACCTCGCTTATTTGTAAAAGGATAATAAAATTGGTATTTTAAGTTTTACTTCTGTTAAAATTAATATTTCTAGAATTTTGAAAAATACGAAAGATCAATTTAAAAATTTTAAACAAACTTTTTACAAGCAAAAATGTCTTTTCAATGTTATAAAAATTCAAAATCCTCATTCTCTGGAGACTTTCTTACTGAAAATGAACCCAAAAAAAAAACGACTAACCGATCTTTGTGTTCTTTTGCAATTAAACACGTATAAACAATTAATCAAAGTTCAAACAATATCTGACAAGTGGAATCCCCTAAATATGACTTTATTGACTACAAAATGTGTTCCATCGATCATGAAAATAGCAGCCATAACTTTCAGTAAATTTCAAATTCAAATATACAGCTATTATCACATAACTTCAATAAGAAAAATGATTTTAAACCCTTCTTTGAAATGTGTTATTGCAATAAAAATGTTACAGGAAATTTTAAAAGTATATTGAATTTCATCCTGCAGTCGATTTTACAACACAATATATCATAAAAAATTGCTTTATGCAGAAAAATCTCCGCGGTACCATCAAAATCTCATGGATTGCGTTTGCAGGCACGACTAAGTAGTTTGCATGATTGCATATATATGACTTGAAAAAGGTTCAATATCACAATACGTTACATGCGCTTTACAAATTCGATTTGAATTTTATCTAAGATCAAATATTTTTAAGGATCTCAAGACGTTGGTACAATTAATTCGACATATTAATAATAATGGATGGGTGCAACACGTTTTCTATCCTTGTTTTTCTTTTTTTTTTTGGTAACTATAAAAATAAGCGCACTCCATTGGCATGTAAAAAAACTGATTCGTGTTAAAAAAAAATTAGGACATAGAACAGAGAGAGAGAGAGAGAGAGCGCGNGAATTTCTTAACTTTATAAATATTAAAGCCCCATTCATGCTATTGATCAAGTCACGGTCCAATCATGGTCAGATCAAAATATATTTGACTGGACCGTGCCTTATAGTATGCATGCTGTCATATGAAATGTATGTTATAATATTTTACTTGACTGTAACTGGACCGGACCGTAACTTGTAGTTAGCTCAAAGCAAAATAAAATATATATTAATGAAACACTTGGTTACTTTTATTGAAAAGAATCCCAACTGTTTCAATATGTATTCCGTAAATTTTATTTTGGCTTAATCATGCCCTTTCACAACAGTTGCACCATTGAAACTTTAAATAGTATTTATAAATATTTTAAAACAAATTTATTCACTGGTTAATAAATAGACAAAAGATAAAATAATGCCTATTAATATTTCAAGATTTTCATTTAAAACTGATTTAGAACTTGTTTACCGTCCGATATAAATTTGGAAACTATCCGTTTTTTGTTTTTAAAAATTTTACGTGTTAAACAGGAAATTTCACGAATCAATTTTTTTGCGCCGTTCAACTAATAAAAGCTACATTTCCGTATTTAGCACCTTCTTTCGTGTCCATTTGGCAAGAAAAACGTTAATTTATATCTGCTCTTTAATTAAGTAATATTGTTATTAAAGCACTGTTCCTTTAAGTTATTTTAAAAATTTTACGTGTTAAACAGGAAATTTCACGAATCAATTTTTTTGCGCCGTTCAACTAATAAAAGCTACATTTCCGTATTTAGCACCTTCTTTCGTGTCCATTTGGCAAGAAAAACGTTAATTTATATCTGCTCTTTAATTAAGTAATATTGTTATTAAAGCACTGTTCCTTTAAGTTAATTTACAATGTATACTCACTTATAATACTGCCAGAGAACTATACGAAAATGCCAGAGAGAATGAAAGATTTGCATAGGAAAGAAAAAATAATAAATACAGGAAAATAAACAGATAACAGAAATGTCTAATTCGAAAAAATAATAAATTAACCATATTTTAAAGAGTTTCATTTAAATGACTCAATATAATATTGCTACTTGAATAGTACATTTACTTAAATGGTCAAAGTTAATTAAAGGGCTGGGGCACAGGGATGACGGTAAACACATTTACCAAAAATTAAAAAAAAAAAACGTATCTAAAATTAAAATCTTCTTTATGGCATTCGCACTTTACGTTCTTACATCCCAAATGATATGTTTCGGGACCCTCCCTTTCATGCGCCTTTTTTGTCTGGTTCTTGTTTAATACAGGCGCCAGTTTTATCATCCACGTTCGTCATTTTGCTGTCATTGCCCTCAATAAGTTCATTTCTGAAACGAACGGCAAGTTTTCATTTATGAACTGAATAATTTAGACTGACGAGGAAAGTAAAATCATTTCGCCAAACCGTTTTTATCAGAAAATTCATTAATAATTACTAATAAGACAGTTACAAGAAATTGTATAACTACACATAAAATATACTGGTTTAAATTTTGAATGCAATGGAAAACATAACATTAAATAGTAGTGGGGGACAAATGATATTTAATAAGTACTTTACTAACTTTTTAACCATTAGTTTCAAACTTTAATTTGACGCTCCCTTAATACCTATTTAGTTCACTACATTTCAGCTCAATTTCTATAACTATCTGTTGCTCTTTTTACGAAATATATATCACTTTACAAAAAAATTGTCAAGATACACGAATGCTTTGTATGCGCTTTTTATTTTTGCTATCGTTTCCTCTACTGATAAAGTAAAGCGAAAATGGCCCCAAGAGTTCCCTTTTTTCAAATCCGAATTCGTTTTTCGTTAATATTTATTTCTTTCGCTCTTCTTTCCACCCTTCCCTGCACGATTCTAGCGAAGATTTTTATCTAATAAGGTAAAAAAGGCCAGTATCTTCACCTACTTCCTTTTTTCAACATATGCTACTTATTATTAGTTCGAAAATATTCCTTAAAATATTTTAAAGGTTTACTCACTTGGCCTCGTTTTTCGGTTCACTATCAATATTACTACTACGATGATCGGCTCCGTCACCCGCTGCCACTACGTGACCTCCTATCTTCTTGGCCACTTCTTGTAGTGCCTGGTCAACGATTTGAGCCACTTCGGTCTCAGCTGCATCTCTCCTACTTTTACTAACCACCTCATCTTCATTCGCGTTCTTTACTAGATTAATCGTCGTCGTTGCTGTTGTAGGCGTCACGACGTTCCCAAGTACTGCCTTTCCAACTGCTGGACTGTTGGGAAAGGTGCCACAGTTTGAGTTCTCGGTTCGATTCGGAAGTGCATCAAAATTGGCATCGAACACTGCGGCAAAAGTTGCCGAACTAAAATCGGCCCAATTGTTGGTACCACAGTCGCCTGCTGTAATTGCAGACGTCGCCTCGTCTGCCGTTTTTTCACACGTGCTCCATGGATCTTGCATTGATATTGGTGCTACTGCACCTGGTTTATTGGACTTCGACAACCATGCTACGAAAAGAAATATCTTCAAATCGATTGAAGTGACACAAAATAAAAAATAAGTTAAAAACGATTTACTATTAATGCTACTAAATAGCACAGCTTCCAGAATAGATATACAGGGACCAAAATATTAGCATGCGTTAATAATGAATCGTCAGAAGTATTAGCATCTAAGAAGAACTTATAAACAGTCTTAAGGTCGTATTTAAATAAAAGTATAGAACGAAAGAAACATAAATTAAAAGTATTGGTATGGGAGAGGGGTGAAATTAAAGTTAGAACTAATATTGGAGACGAAAAACTAGAGATAGCCAATTTTCGATATCTAAAACATTAAAAAAATCAAAATGTAAAAATCGTAGATATAAGACAAACAATAGTGCAGGGTGGAGTCGCTACTAACAAAAAAAAGTTAGGTGTATTTGATATGTGGTGTTATAAATAAGAGAATGATGAAAATATTAAATACTAAAAGAAGTAACAGAGCAGAGGGCGCTATACATGTCAAAAACGAATATTAAAGATTAATTGGTAGTACATCCTTTAATTTTTTGGTTTTGACAAATTACCTACAATAATATACTGTTTATTTTATGTTTTCTGTTGAATTGATGCCTAATAACAAAGCGATGAAAGCTGTAATTGTAAAATTGTCTCATTATTTAGCAAATAATGAGTTTGATATGCTTTATAACAATAAATTCTATAAAGCGAATGTAATTGAATTAAATATTCATGTGAATTTTACTTTGTTCGTTATAAAAATGCATTTGTTACAACCTTAATATAAACAAAACATTGGGCTTGTAACTTCGAAATTTTGTTCTATAAAGCGTCAACGTGTAATTCTAAAACTTCGTTTTTTAATTCTCCATTATTTTTAATAAAGTCGAAAATTGGCGACGCTTGCTGTATTATTAATAATGACACATATTATAAAGTGCCTAAGTTAAGTAGTAACTGCATGACTTACAATCAACATCTACAAATGGATTATCGGAAGGCGGTGAGCCATCTTCGCTATCACTACTACTGTGGTACCCTCCAAATCCGGAGCAGTTGTCGCCCGCTTCCTTTTTCTCTATTACAGTTTGAAACGTATGATCTTTGTCTTCGAAAATTTGATCATCAGCGTCGTCTAACGTGTTAATGTTCTGGGCGCAGATCTGTTTAAAGAATTCGTGTTGTTGCACAAGATCGCCTTCCGATAAATCGAAATTTACGTTCGTCCTGTCATCTATCGCTCTATCAAAAGAAAAGATATGCAAAATGAAATAAATTAAATCCTATTTTACAGTAAGGGCTTACTGTAAAGTGTCTTCATCATCGTTGAAATCATCATCGTTATCACTGTAACTTTCGATGAACTGGGGTGTTAATTGTTGCATTTGGTATTGCGCATAAACCTTAAAAAGACCAATCAAAAATTGTTGTTTTTGACAAACTAAAATAGATCATTATCAGTAATGTACAATGAGAACATCCACTGGTTGCTCGGAGGAAGGGAAAGGGTCCAGTAAAAGAATAATTTGAACCGTATGTGTGGGGATGGGGTACCCGATCAACATGGTTATGCATTGTAAAAAAAGGAAGACTTTTATCCAAGAAGAAGGTTTAGAAATGGATCAATATCTATTGTTACACCTACATGCAAACAATTTACAAGAATAGCTAGCCTCGAATCTTACTGTTTTAGATGAATTTCAATAAAAAAATTAAACCAAAGTAAAGTACTCTTGATATTGTATTTTAGATACATATTTAAAAAACAACAATCGCCAAAATAACACTAACCTGTTGCTGTAAAAGCATAGACTGGGTAAATGGTAGATCGCCGTATTCATCACCATCATCATTGGTCACGCAGGGATTGGCTCCACCCTTAAATTGAAAACATTAACCTAAATAATTGAGCTACACAACATTAACTTTCATAAACATACCAGCAATGTGTCCCTTTTTTTGTTTATTTCTTGAAGCGTGGATTCGGCGAACTTCTCAAATTCTTCGGCCACCGTGGGCACGGTCGTCTTTAAGAATTCTCCTAACGAACTTGTTGAACAGCAGTTAAGTATGCTGTTTACCATATTTGTCAAATGGCCCATGTAACCCTGTCGTAAACCGTTCGTTTGAGATCTAAAATAACAAAAAACATAATTAAACGATAAAATTGTTGAATCAGGTACACTGGTAATAAATGAGCTTACTGTTTTTCGTCGTTGTTTTTCCAAGCCTCCAAAATCCTTTCAACTAACTTACAATTAACTATTAACTAAAAAATAAGAAAATCAACTTTATGAAATCCAGAGAATTGCAATCTTTACATTTTTATTAAATAAAAATACCAAAAAAAAGGGAATATGTATTACAAAAACTGTAATTACTCACGTGTGTATATAAGGCATTATCGTCCCCTGTTTCGTACGTGACGGGAGCTTTTAAAGCGGAGGTAATGCAAGCTTCAACCTGAGTGTGCAAAAAATTATTCCACGGATACTTGAAGAACAAATCGAGTAAAAGCTGAAATGTGCCAAGACTCATAAGCTCCTTGATTACGTCTGAACTGTTTGTAGCAATAAAGGTTGCGAACAGCTTGGCCACCTTCAGACGAGTGTTACCAACTGGCACTTGCAGTGTACCCACTGTCATGCCAATTGGCTCTTTCTAAAATCACAAAATATAAATAAAGTCTATACACACCACCAATATTCAGTAGTAGCAGATCAAAAAACACTTGGAAAATCAAGGTATTCCCAAAAATTAATTTATCACTAATTATTTTAATAATAATGTTTTGGGGTATTCCACATTCAAGAAAATGTTCTCTTATGAGTGACTTTTTTCTATGCTAAAACTGAAGCAGTAAATTTTTTAGACAATCGCGTTGAAAATTAACAATTACACACGTTTATAGGATTTTAAATCACAGAAATAAAGTGCTAAAAACAAAGTGACTCAATTAGTGAATATAAACTTACCTTAGGAGGATCTACAAGTAAATTATGGAAGTCCCTAAGTCTTTTGAGGACGGGCGGCATCATAATTTCGACTATTTTTTTCTTGTACTCGGCGTCGCTAGTTTCTTCAGTCACCCTGAAAATGGGAAATCTTCAGATAAAACATAGACATTGCACCCATAATACGACCACTCACCCGATCGGTTTGCTGAACTCTAATAGGGCTAAAAGTACTTGGATGCCTCCTACTATACAACTCTCCACTTTTGTACTGGAGAGTATTTGATCTAGTAACATTATTATGATTTCGGCTCTACAAGCAAAGTAAAATAATTACCAAACCTAAATTAATACAATATCTAGTTTTTTAAAACAGGATTAACAATTTCGAAATTAGTTGTACACTTTACAGTATAAAGTTTGAAGATAAATTTATTTTTAGATAATATATGTATATTGTCAAGGGTAGTTAGAATTAAATTAAGAATTATAAGAGCATTATATGTAAAGGGTCGTTCATAAAATGTGTTCGCACTTAAGGGGGAGGGAGACATGTGACATTCGCAGTTCATCAATCGTTTTTCCTAACTTGGCCGTTCTTAAAATTTTTCATTACAATAGAAAATCATTCTCTATTTTTATTTACATGAAAGGGGGAAGACTATCATTTTAATATTTTTTAGGGAGGTCGCTGAAAGTGTGATGAAGGGTCCAAAAAAGTGAAATTCTGAGTGACGTATTTTATGGACGACCCCTAACAAAAGGAAGCATTTTCAAAATTTCTTTTTGAAAATGAATACTTACGATTCTACAGTGTTAAGTAACAAGTCGGGCTCGTACCGCTCCGTATTATTTCGCTGAATGTCTCTTGCTGTTTTAATAAAATCACACAGTAATTGAGCAACATTGTAATGCCTTTCTTTATCTACTGATGGGTTCAAAAGGGCCACCAACGATTGCACTATTTTTTGACTGTCTAACCACTAGAAAAAAAATACAAATAATAAGTTTCCAGAAAATAATAATAAATACAGAGAAACTGATTTTTTTGTGAAACACTTTCTTTATTATGTGTTAAAACCAACAGAACATAATCAATTAAACATTATTTATTCAGGCTAACATATTTAAGTAAAATAAAATAAGATATTATTTTCAAACTTTAAGCATTCCAACAGGCGAAATGTTAGTTTTCTTACACCAATTATTCTAAATTTATAATTACGATTAAATAACATTCAATTTAATTTTGGAAACAAAGTTGTTTACTTACTTGCAAAATGTTTTGCCGCAATTCGGTACCTTTGACCTGCGTCATAAGCTTGAGCGTGAGATCCATGATTGCAGAGGTACCAATGTGCTTAAGCAAGAGTGGTATGAAATTTTCTTTCTTCTTTAAAAAATATATGACCTGTAAGCAAGTTACCTGATGGGATAACCAGTTCTGGTTTGGACAACCGGAACAATGAGGGCAAGGAAATGGTAAACAGACAGGTATAAGTAGGAAGGAAAGGGAAGATAAAAAAATAAATTACTCTCTAAGTTCTACTATATACACATGACGATTAAAAATATAGTGGAGTGAATGGTATGTTAAATGAAAATAATGAATTGATTAATTATATATTTTAATGGGATCAATTTCAAAATTATGTATTATTGGTCAACATAATTATAATGAAATATTCATTAAATTTCAACTGAATACATCAAAATTGAATTTTCATCTTAAACTAAAATGTTAAAATGAATATTGAATAACATACATTCCTGGTCCTTTTAAAAATTATCTTGCCAGAAACAATTTTAATATGAAAGTATTTTAAATACTAAGAAAATTCCTATGAAAATGAAATTCCTATTTAAAATTATTGAAAAGAGTAATTTTCAAACCTGTTCAGTCTTCATGGCAATAAGAACACACATAATTTCACTAAAATAAGATGCCAAAAGGGAATTCAAAGGTGGCTCACTATCCAGAAATGAATAAAGCTTGGACAGCAGTGCCTCATTACTAGCAAGTCCTTCATTTAAAGTAGGAATGTCACAGACTAGGATTTGACATGCAATATAGGGATATTTGAAACGTGTGCGTTCCTCTATCTCCACTGATGGCTCAACAGTTGCCAATGTTACTAGTTCTTCCAAATTTTCAGGTCTGTTTAAGCTGCAAGTGCAAAAAATGTTAAAACCTCTTAAAGAAATGCTGACAAAGTAACTCAAAAACAATTCTTGTAGTTTAAGAAGTGCCTAAAATTTTAAATCAATGCTCATTTCAAATGGTCATTCATAAAAAAATAGTTACACAAATACTACATAAAAAAAATTAGAAAACAGAGTATGCTGATTATGTAAAAATTATAGCCATTAACTGGAAAAAGTAAATAAATATTAATTAATTAAAGAAAATCTATCTCAACTATTATATTATAATTAAACCTAATAATACTCATTCCATTTAAATTACAACTAGATCTGAACTATTCTAATAATTGACATTGTAAGCAATAAAAATATGAAATAGGTATAAAGATACAACTAATATTTCCACAAAACAATATAACACTTCTTTAAAAAAATTACTTACAAGTCAATTAGCGCTTTATTTTGCAGTTTACATTCATTTATAATGTCTTCTTCGTTCAACAGTTCCTTTAACGTTATCCCCTGAAAGGTTAGGTGAAGTAATTGTTCATTAAAAGTTGTAATCTCATCTTTGCCTTACCTCTTTAGCCAATAGCGTTTCTATTTGCGATGAAGATCCGTTGTTATACTTCCAAAACATTTTTAATAAATATACAAACTTGAGTGTAAGAAGCTACTTTACAAAAACAGAATGACACATGAACATGGCATTTGAAATAATGGAATCGAATTGAACTACTGTGACCACAATTACGTAACTAATCTGCCCAAAAACTGTATTTTGAATGCCGTTTTGTGGTTTCACTTTTATCTCTGCAACTTTTACGTTTTTTGAAGACGTTGAGTTAGGTACATTTGAATTAACTTGTCTTGCTAACGGTACAAGAGTAGGTTTTCAAACTAAAAACGACTATTCTAAATCACATATCACAATTTCCATTCTAAAATTAAAGTACGGGTTAACGTGTTAGAAGTTAGAATCAGTTTTTGTAATTACTTATTACAAGCACTACACTATTATAAGCAACTTAACCACCATTATCCATCCCAGAATGCACTTGTTGATTAGGTGGAAGTGACAGGCTAGCCGCGAAATTCAAATTTTAACATTTTCCATTGTCTCCCTGATCGTTTTATTAGATGTAACAAAAATTAAATTTTTCAGGTCTAAAACAGTCAGTGATTTTTAAATTGTAATTAATCTACTAAAAAGGTATGAGTAATTTCATGATAAATTTGAATTTGCTTCATAAAAAATTTTTAAATGTAAAGTTGAAATTATTTTTTATTCTATCTTGGAAACAAAATAATGTACAACGTACTTCTTATTGCGGAGGTCGCAGAAACATGCAAAAAGTTCTGAGTGTTAGAGGAATAATACAAGTGTCTATATGTGCACAAAATCCCAATCCAACACCTATTCATTATCCACTCAAGTATGCATATAAATAGCAACAAATCACTAAATTAATTGATTTATTTAAAAGTCTCCACGTACGTGTACACAGCAATAAGTAAAAGTCATTTGATATACATTAAATTATTAATATAAAAATTGCTCGACATCGTGTTTACATGCACACTAATAACACAAATCCGTTTATTATTACTTCTCGGATTGACCGATACCTTTTCCGATTTTTTATATTACCTATTTCATCTTAAGCGGAGTCGAGGCAACAGGTACAGCACGGCCACCTATAATGATCTGGGGACCTGAATAATAACGTACCAATAAACTCGATCCTCGTTTAAGCTGGTGTTCGGCCGACAAATGTTGCCAACAATCTATCCATGATGAATAAATCGGCATATTCGGGGGCATTCCTGCCTTCAAACCTGAACCCGTCACAGCCATGCAATTAGACACTACTTGGAATGGATATGTAATGGCACTTGCGATGAACTAAAATTAATAACAACTAAAAATAATAATAATAGAAACTTCTAATTTTTGTCTCCATCTATTTCCGATGTTTATGGACTAAGATAAAATAACTGTATAATACAATCTACTTAATAAGGAACCCTTACCGACATTGTTGCAGTTGTGTACATATGTAAATCTTTTTCATCAAAGACATAAGTATTAACAAGATAAGACAATACATGTGCTAAGACTATGGATAGAGCATCTCCCAATACTCTTGGTATTAATCCAGAAAAGAACCCACCTATTCCATTCTCTCTGTATACTTCAACAATTGAAGTAAACAAGCCACTGAAAAAAATATTATAGACAAAAGTAAAGAAAGAAAAAATATAAACAGTTTCAATAATAATTTTACTTGTATTTAGTTTCTTGTCCAACAAACTGTGCCATCATTCGAATACTTATCACATGAAAAGGGTGACTAACAATAATAGCAGTGGTACGACTAATAAGATCTCTCTTAATATTATTAATGACATGCTGTCTCCTAAAAACAAACAATAAGCAGTAAGGTTTCTGTGTTCAATTTTTTAAATTATCACTACTTTAGTTCTTCATTCATTTCAGCTTCATCATCCAAAGGTTCATGATTATCCATCTCCATTTTTTCCAAAATTTTTTGACTGGCTACAGCACTAACTAAATTTCCACATAATTTCGGAGTTAGACCCCTATAACAACCGTAAAAACCATCCGTCGTCTTTATATATTTCACTGAAAAAATCAAATTTATATCTGACCATACCTACTGTAAAATTAACTTACCATATTGAAAAACATTTGGCAGTTTTAAAGCAGGTTTCCCAAACAATGTTGTGGATGATTTGGGTGCTATTGGTTCATGTCCAATCTATTAAAATAAATTTAATTAAGCTGTTAGTACGAACAGTTTTTCATACAAAATCACCTAACCTGTATTAAAACCTTCGCATATTCTAAAGGATGGGATGCTGTATTAACTATTATTCTTAAGGCATAGTTCGACCAGGTGTTTTCTTTAGGCTTTGACATGCTACTTCTATATTGGAATTCTTCGTTTTTGAATTTTTCAAAAATTTACATCAAATAAATGAAGATGAAAGCTGCCAAAACCCGGCCTCCTTATTTTTCGGCAGTTTGTAATAACATCACTTTTCTAAAAATACATTTTGTCTAGAATACAAAGATAAGATAATTTCTAAAACCAATATTTTAAATATATTTTTCTAGATAAATAATGCTTTTATAACAATCACCCCTTTAAAAGAGGTTATGTTCCAGTTTCTAATATAACAATCTATGATAACAATTATCAAGTTTCACCGAAAAGACCCTTATTTATATGTGGCATAAGCGCAAAAATGAAATGCAGCTTTGGATACTAATACAATTATACCTTTTAGTACAAAGTTTTTCCGGGTGACTATATAATTTTTAAACAAAAAAGGCGGTAACGTTTATTAAATTTCAAATATTCTTATGTCTAGAAATAATACAGATAGTCCCATTTTCCGACAGACATATGTTTGCCAGGTTATCTGTTAACACACTTATTCAACTTAATTTAAACCAAATAAATTTTGATAAAGTACTTACCTAAAAAGTTAATAACAATTACAGTAAAAGGTCTCATTTAATAAAACTTGGGTAGCCTGCAAGTCCTTTATTTATGTCAAAAATATTAGACCGATTGACAAATAAAAAAAATTTAAATTGTATAATTAACTAGATATTTTAATAATTAATCACTGAATAAAATACACCTGATAAGAAATGGGCAGTTTCCACGTAAATTAGGAAGAATTTAAAGAGAATAATTATGGGTAAAATAAAACAANTATATTGCATACACTATAAACGCGTACTATCGTTATCATATTTATTGTTCCTGTTTGTTTTATCTCCTTATCAAACATATATTTTTCTTAAATCAATCAAACTAACAGGCAATAGTTTTAAAGTAGATTTTATAAACCTTTTTCATTCAATCTCAAAGTTAACGATTCAGTAATTAATTACAAGAATAAAATATCTTTTCTTTACATGTAAAAACAAGTGTAACTTTTGTAAGAATAAAGATTAAATGGTAGCACAATTGTACATAAAAATTATAAGAGCCCCCCTTCAGGTAAACACTACTCGATAGAATTTGATCATATAACAAGTATTCTGTTGAAAAGTCATTTATTGTAAATTTCTTCTAAACAATTCACATTTTGGTACAAAAATTATAAAACCAATCTAATTACAATAAAGCAGCTACTTTGATAAATAGTTTTCTAAAAAATTTGCTACAAAAACCCTGTATGCTCGGCTGATTTCTTTTAACAATAAAACTACAACTTTATAGTTAGAATAAATAAACTAATTTAACTGTCTGAGAAAAGTAATCGTCTTTTAAAGCAATAACACTGCACTTAAGCCTCTCTAACTCATCATGCACTTGTGTACGTTTCAAGGCACAATTAATTCTAAATGCAATATTATCGATGTTTAGTGTAAAATACTGATGACACAACAAATCGTAACTCCTGCCATTAAATATTTATGTAAAGATAAAAAAAATAAAAAGACATGCAAGTTAAAAGTGATACAGTTTAGAAAACGAATAAATAATTAATAAATACCACAAGCAATTAAGAAGTAATATCTCATGTTAGAGAAAAAATAGACAAACAAAATTTTTCAATTTGGTATCACCAATAAATATGCATGCCATTTATTACAAACTTGCATGCAATATACTCGTAAAAGACATAAAAAAAATAGAGCCCGCAAACAAGTTGAAACTGCTGCTTAGAAAGACAGAGCAAACGATACGAGGTCCTGTTATCTCTGTCTTTCATAATGTGTAATGTGCAGAAGTTTAAAAGAGGGAAGGAGTCATTCGCTCTCCCTCTAACCCACTGAGATAAAATAATTACAGTAGGCACGACCCATGCAGTTAAGTAAATGAGATGAAAAGTAATGTAAATCTCTATCTTTGTTTAATTCACATTACTTTTCTTTATAATAACGCTCCCAATTCCTAATTGATAAGCACAGCTATCAACTGCACACGCTCAAAATAAAAAGAGCCAGATAATACATATCATTTTTTGTTTCTTTTCATTTTCGATTCGCTTGCCTACTTTAATTCTATTTTCTCCATGTCTACATCCTTTCATTCTTTCCGACTTAGACACACCTATTTTAGAAGCAAAATCCTTTTTTTTTTCTTTATAAAGGTACTATTTGTAATAAATGTGAACTAGGTATTGTCATAAAGTGATTTAAAAATATAACAACAATTTTGAGATCTTATTTTAAATAAACCACCCAGTATATAATGTGTTCTATACCCATGTACACCTTAAAATATACTAAGATGCGATTTTATCATTTATACCTTCCGGTCTCTCCTTCATTTATTTTTTTAAGCCCAATAAAAATACACTTCCAAATTATTTAATTAATTACAAGAATTAATTAAATATGAAGGGTACTATTACTAGAAATTTATAATAAACTTATAGGAAAATATCTTAGTGAACGTCTTTTGTGCAGACATTATAAAAATGCTTGTTAAATACGCCTAAAAATTTGTTTATCGTTCTATTGATGTTACTAAAAGAGCAATACAAAAATTCCATTTATTCCCATTCATTAAAGTTACAAACAGGCAGTTTAATTAATTTAAAAATTCGAGTTTAGTGCGTATCAATTTTTCTGGTCCTTTTACTATTAATTTAATTTTTTTTTCTAGTTGTTCTAGTTTTGAAAATCAGTGCATTCCGACCAACAGTTTCAAATTCACTCATTATTCAATCGCTCGTTTTAAAAATTAAGAAAATTATACTATAAATAAAAGATCTAAATAAAAAAAACATTATCACTACTATTTACTCGTGTATAATGCAGCAATATCCTGTAACGCTGAGCTGGTGCCGAAAATCAGAGCTAAGAGTCCAGTTATAATAACTATAGCGTCTTTGAAAATTTTCCAATTATATTTTCCGAAACCTTTATCCCAAAACGTAATTATTTCAATGAATACGGGTACCATGAGACCTATGATGGAAAAGCAAAGCGCTCCAATAAGACTGATAAATGGTTTAATGTCTGGCACCGCGACAGCTACAGCAATGGCTACTACCACCATTACCGTTCTCAAAATGTAGTTCGACATCAAAGGTTTCGATTCGAATTTGTGCTTCAAGTTGTTCCATACGATGTCCAGACACACGAAAAATTGTAATGCAAACGTCATTAATACTGCCAGTGATATCAGAATTTGAACGGACTGAGCCAAACTGAAAAGAAAAAGATAAATAAAGCGTCAGGTACATTGTAGGAAGAAAGACCATTAAAGTAATTGAAAAGAACTTTCTTATTATGTTTCATAACAATGTATCTTATTATCAAAATTTTCTTAAAAAACGGTATAAATTTGAAATTAATAACATTTTTGCAATACATAGTTTGAAATGTGTTTAATATAAAATAAAATAAACAAAGATACTCACTATTCTTCTTTAGGTAAGTTTAGAGTAATGGAACCTTTTGCTAACTCGCCATACTTGAGATAACCGAAAAATCCCAGAAAAATGTAAATTAAAGTGACGAAAGACATCCCCCTGTTCATGATTCCGCAAATACCAACAAAGTTTTGAGGTTTTTCCATATTATTTTCGAGGGGCATTACCTAAAATAAGAAAAAGAATATTCATGCACACCATCAACTAAAAAAAATTCGAATAGAAAAAAAATAACAAATACAAAAGAAACTTACGACACCAATTCCTTCCAGTGCAAAAACTGTAATACTGAAGAAGGCCGGAAATCGCGAAATCGGTGCAACCAGTTGTCGTTCACTCATTGGTGGAATGTCGATCATGAGGTAGTAAATGGTAATGGCTATACCCAAGCCCATGAACACGTTTGCCAACATGGAAACTGCAGCCAAGTGTTTCAAATTTGGAACGTAGCAAAGTAAGAGGCAAGGCACTAACAGGATTGCAATAGCTAGTCGAATGTTTATTTTGAAGTCCAAATAATGTTCGAAAATCATAAGAAAACTCTCAGCCACTATTACGGCGTATGCACTACAAGTACCGTAATAAGTAATAAAGATCCCTATATCAACCACTTTCCTGCAAGTGAAGGAGACGAAATTGTAAAAATAATGTACGTTTTACATAACACAGTTGTGGATTGGATGTAATGTACTACTAAATTAACTTATTTTATTCTAAAGTATGGTATCATAAAATAAAAAAGTTTTATTCGTTTCAATTTTCATTATTTACCTTCCTGAAGGCCCAAATTTCCTAGCCCATTTCGGACCACGAACGCAAGCTTCTTCTGCAATGTCAGCAAAAGACATTTGGGTCTTCCCCGCTCTTTTATACAGTTCATGAGCACAGACAACCTAAATTTAAATTTTATTTAGTTAACAATGAAAAATTGCGACAAACAAAGTTTTATATTTTATTTTTATTTTAAACGTTATCTTAAATTGAAAGAACTACCTAATCAATGAAAAAAAAGAAAAATAATCTTGCTTTATATTGTTTCTCTGATTAAAATAAAAATTAAAGCAAGAAAGGTAACATATAAAAAAATATTTAATCTAATACCAGATAATAATAAAGAAAAAATATTTTAAAAATTGAAAGCTTACCAAAATATATGAGCAATGGGTCACTATCAGTGATGCAAGTATTGTAGCAAATATTCCTAAAACTAAACCTGAACTTGCGAAAGCAGCAGGCATTGCTAAAATTCCTGTTCCTAAACATGATTTCAGTAGATGTATCAAAGTATCAGTGTTTCTGTAAAAAAGGAGTAAAAATCAGTTTTGTATATAACAAATTAATCAACATCAAACAGGCATGTGTCGAAAGAATTAGAATTTAGGTATATTTTTTTTATAATTTTACAGGAAATTTACTTAAATATAAATGACCTATTGTGGAACAAATTCAGCAAAGTTAGAACTTATTAAATATAAAACATTCTTTCAAGCTATCCTAAACTTCAAAATTCAATAAGAATCGTCAATCTTTGAATTAAGAGTTCATTATGAGAATCTCATCCAGATGATCTAGGAAAATAGTTACCTTATGCATGAATTATGTTTCAGTAATTAAGAGTTTGTACAGCAGTTAAATTGAAATTTATTTTGTGTAGAGAAAATAAATGTTTTGTTGCATATAATATTACATATAAAAGAAATTATGAGTGGTGTCAGCAAAGGGCAAAATAGTATTACGTAGTTAGTATCAGCCATTTCTTATGCCGAAGTGTACGATGTGTTGCATACCTATTTACAAACAGTTCCTTTAAATTTTTCAAACAATTTTGAACACAAAGAAAGTGATTAAACAAATTGTTCACGAAAGTGAATTTCGACTACTCGAAGCAATGGTGCTAACAGTTTCGAGCCCACAGTGACTGATAGGGAGGAAGAACTAGTTTATACATAACATAAATCGGCAAATTTCTAATCTTTTTTTACTAAAAAGAAGACTGTTTAATGGGGTAAATTATCAAATTAATTAAGTAAATATGTACAGCTAATAATTATTTGATATGACTAAAAAAATTCAATTTAATTCAAGTGTTACCCACTTAATATAATTAAAAATTAAATTGTGATTTCATGACAACGAATGAATGTGTATTTGCTAGTTTGTCTGTTGCTCCCATAAACTCATTTTCTATTGTCAAAGTCACGTGTTGGTTTATATAGGAAAACAGCACGTACAAGCAAAAGTCAAGCAACTTTAAACATTTTATCAATGACGGTATCGCAGAAGTTAAATTATGTAAAAATTCTAAAATTAGTTTAATGTATTCAATACAAATAGAAGCAGTGCAACATAAACATGTTGTTATCGTATTATAAACTATATTGCACTTGTATCTCTTCCCTGTTTATTTTTAAATGTGATTACAGATATTATTAATATGGCAGCACACAAAAATTTTTCTTCAGAAAATTGTCTTTTTCGTACACGTGTACAAAAGATCTTGAATATATTAATTTAAAAATTGATTGTACTATCTATACTTAATACACAAGCGATTCCAAATTTCACGTTTATTAATTTAATAAAAAACTATCTATATCTACAAGTAAATAAAATTGATGTGTTTGTCTGTAATATTAACATGAAGGGCTCCTTTTTTAAGTTCACGTTTACGAACGAACTAATTTAAAAGACTCTTTACAGACATTTGCTGTCAGGAGTGATCTGCGCTACTACTTTTTTTTAATTGTTCGTTGATTATATCAATTATATACAAATACAAAATTTTAAATAATTAAAAACGGTTTCACGTGGATGATTTTCAGTGAACACCACTGTACATGAGTGAAATTTAAATCAAAAATCAAGTAATTTATACAATTTTCTTGAATTTACTACAGTATACGTATTATAGACATATGTAGTATAGATACTTAATAGATATTATTACTTACGAAGTAGGGTGTTCTAAGACACGGGCTTTAAATGGATCGAACTCTCCACTAAGTGCGTTAGCTGCCTCTGCATCAAGTCCTTTCGTAATTTCATACCTGAAAATAATGAAAAAATCTTGCATATCTTTATAAAAAAAATTGTAGTTTACTAATTAAAATAAAAATTTGGTATATAAATAAACCATTGTTAATTGTATAATGGTAATATTTGCGAATTTGTAAATCTATGTGAAACCTCTTTTAAATTAATGTAAAAATTCATTTTTACTTTTTTCATCCACTATAAATTATCTCAAGTTAATGAGGTAATGAAGCAAAAATTAGTTGTTATTGCCACGCCCTCGCCGGGAATCGAACCCGGACATTTGGCTTTACTCACCAACGCTCTGACCACTATGCTTTTAAATTAACTCTCCCTTCTCTTATTGTCTTTTGTAGAACTTTTTTCTCATCTAAAGTACATAAAAACAATACTCGGACATATTGTGAGTAAAGACCAAATACTAAATCAGTAGAAACAACATTAAGAGTTTTTTATTAGAACCTTTCTTTGCTCTAAAAGAGTGAAAGAACAAAAGACGCTATGGAAAAAAAGGAGAAATAAGATGCTAGGCTAATTTGACATATTAGAAGCAGAAATAGGGGTAAGCAGGGGTAAGAGTAGACCTAAATTGAATCATAGTTTGCAAATACTTGGTGATGTAAAATATTTCAGTTAGAAAGGAAGTTAATAAGAAAAGTGAGGCATAGGATGATAGGACTCTTTTTGTAGCATAAAGGGTAAAAAGAGAGAGATGTGGGTTGTTATAGTTTTGAGGAAAAAACGAAGATTAGCTCAGCATACTAAGGGGTAGATGTCTTAACACTGACGGCCCATATGATACGCTTAAAAAAATATTTTTTATTTTACAAAACTAGGAAATATCGTAACGAGCAAGTAACTTATTATTTGTTTTTGCAATTCAAGTACACGACAAGTAAATTACCGTTATTATCAATAAAGTTCAATGAATTAAGGAGGTTCATGTAGTCGATGTGATTTTTTTAGGTGTCATTTACATTTTGTTTACAATTGCAATCACAACTACGTAAACGTGATTCAACAATGATGCAAAAACCAACAAAATTGCGTAAATATTACAACAGGATCTTTCGAAAGAAGAGCATATAGATTCGTTCTGTTTCACGGACAACTTCATTTTAGATAGGCAAGTATCTCTCGATTTTGAAATGGTTTTTCTCGGAAACAAATGAAGATTTTGAAATACAAAAAAATCGCACTGGATTTCTGCAAAAAGGCTCTACATGGTAAAGCAAAACCTAACGCATCTTATGGCAAAATTACTACCGGGATTTTCTTAATTATGGTGTAATACCTTAAAAGCATTTTGAAAAGGAATCTTAATTACTAAAAAACATTTTTTGTATTTTTGTTGTACTACTTTTTGTCAAAATGCTTAAACAATATACAACTTACCTATTAATGTTAAAAGAAACAGCTAGGTCAATTTTATATTCAGAAAGGGGATTTACCGGGCAACCTAACCCAGCCTAACCTATCACACTTGATTAAAAAACCGATTTAAACTCAGATTTACTGACGAAAGTTGCTTATTTACTTTTGAAACCTTCATATAACACAATAATTTTAACATCTCAACACAATAATAAATAAAGGCTTAAACATACCTCTGTATTCCAAAAAATTTTTTAATCCGTTCTATGCACCCAACCATTTCGATATTATTATTGATTTAAAATAATAATTATGTAACTATTATACATTAACAAAGAATTTACGGAAATTAAAACGCCGTTGAACGGAGAAAGCATAAAAGGGGGACAAAATTGCAGTGCTAATTACTTACAATTAGGTAGGTAGTCATGTATTGTGAACGCAATTATTTCATAAAGCAAATCAAATACAATTTGTTGTCCAATCGACGTACCGAATAAAACGCATCGAACACAAAATATTTACATACTTAAAGAGTCAACATTTTTCTTTAAAAACGCAAAGCTATGCAAACCAATACATAATGAGTAACATAGAAAACACGCATGGGGTTAGCTCTATATCATATTATGTGCTAAATATGGGGAGATCAATGTAATAAATCATACCTATATATGAAACGCTATTTGTAGTATGATACTAGTTGGAGAAATGTAATTTTAAACAAATTATTTTCAAAGAGGAAATTGAGAAAATATGGTACATTGGTTTTCTAAATGATGTAACCAGATAATATAATAAAATTGCAGTGTTTCCGCCATAGTTTTTTGCATTGAAATTGAATTTCTCTTTAGGTACGTAAGAAGTTGTAAATAGAGATAAAAATTAACATTACTTTTTGAAACTATAAAAATACTAGCTTTTCCCTGCGGCTTCGCTCGCAGAAATTAATATTGTTTCTCCATAAAACCTTGTAACTCCTAATTCACCCTTACAACGTTTTAATTTTATGTAATGTCGCTATCTTAGATTTCAAATACAAACGTAGCAACAACATTTCATCCTGAGGGGTTGATTTTTAAAAATTTCCAAAACACGTATTTGCTTANAGAGTCCGGCCGATAATCGACAACCTTTGTACTAATGATATTTTTTGACACATTATCATAAATTAAAATAGTCATCAAACCCCACCTTTAAATTTTAACTAATGTTAATACATTTTTGAAAGTAGTTTTAAAAATTTCTCATATCTGAAGTTTCAATTTAATTATTTACAAAAAAATATTTTGTTATGCAGTTTCTTGAAATTATTTCATTTGTTTTTCTACCATCCAAACATATCTATAATAAAATTATTCTGATTGCAACGAGAACTTACTTGTATTGAACCGTATGGACTCCCTTACGAAAACAAGGGCTGAAACTACGTAAAGGGGATATGTCGTCCTCGACACATGGTGCAAACGTCCCGTAACGCAGTTTCCCGAACGACATTGCGCCAATTTTCGAAACTGCACAAACCGTAATAACAACTTTGGACTTTATAGGCCGTTTTCTCATAAGAATGTTATAGTTTAAATTGATAAAATGTTATCGGTTATTTACGGGGGGCAAACGAAGGATATTTTGATGGTCAATACTATCGCACGCGTTGCCTCGACAATGTTGTTTTGGCCCTATTGTATTATTTATTTATTTATTTATAAATTTATCGTATTTTATGGTCCACTCGGACAGATTCTTATACGGGGCGTATATAACAAATTACGGATAAATAGATACAAATAAGATAATCACGTGTCTATTTTTAACACAAAACTTTGGCCCACATGCGTTAATATGATAAGAAAAATTTTATTTATAGTTAATCATAACAAATTATAGTATCTTACATTTATTGAACTTACATTACTTTATTATTTGTATGAAAAGATGGCTAAAGGTATGTCTAACAAATTTTTTGAAATTACTCTTGAAATTTGATATGTGATAGCTAGAAAATAATTTTTCAATAAGATGTGAAAAAGGAAACAGAATTTTAATGGCAATTTGTTTGCATATGGAGTAGAGTACCTACTTGAATGTTTTTGGTAAACCAACCCTTAAATGATGAAACAAGGGTGGCATCTTGATGTATGTATATTCCAAAATATTTCATGTCAAATACAATTCGAAAAATTTACATCCGAATTTACACTCGTATTTTCTACAGCTTTCTATTCGAAACTCTTAATTCGAACATATAAAATACTATAGTTAGTAGTAAGTATCAGTAGATGGCGTTATACTGCTAGTATTTTGATGTTATATGAACTTTCTTTTACAGAGCGATTTTTTACTTGTGTACATTCATCTTTACGCCTACAAAAGCACTATTCTTCTCATTTTCCATAACTTTAATATAAACACAACAACGTAAGTAAGGAAGTATCGTAGTACTGCTTTTATCGATGCTCCAAGCGCTGCTCTGCTCGCAGCTCACATCGGCAACATAAAAGTACTTCTGTATCTACTTATCGGTTTACATATGATCATATATCACTTAATTTATTATTGTATACTCCAAAAAGTTCACCCACTTCTTTTTCTCTTCGTATTTATTGGATGTGCTACATAATGGCGTCTTGATCGACACTTTTTCATAAGGTACCATTTGAGAGATCCTGATGAAAATAACATTTCCTCTTTAGAATCCATCATCACTTGTACATATTCACATAATAAGCAAGGAAGCACCATTGCTCTTAGCGCTGCTCCACTAACACCTCACATATCCAACGTAAATTGTACCCTCTCAACGTGTTTTTACGGAGTAACTACGGTTTGATCAGCCATTTATCGATGCTTTTCGCCTTTTTGCACCCCTCCCTCCCCCTTCGTCACTCTGAGTCATATTTTCAGTGACCCCCCCCTAACAAATATGAC